AGCCAGTGAGTACCCTCTGGAGCCTCAGTTTCCCTTTCTACAAAGAAGAATAGCACATGAATCGTACTTATTCAGTCCTCACGATAACTGTATTCTGAAGGACTGTTACCCCTGGTCCTCAGGTGAGGTCAGGTGGCTTGTCTGAGGCCATCTCACTACATGAGGAGAGAATATGTGAGAAGCATTTGGCACAGGGCTTGGCAGGCCCCGTGTGAGCGTTACTGAGAAGGCTAGCATCTCAACTGGCTTCTGCCGGAGCTTGCTTTGCAGGCAAGGAGGCTGGCCAGGGTGGACCAGGGACTTACCCAAGCCAGTCTAGGGACAGTAACTCCTGTGTCCATGTGGGGGAAGGGAGGGAGTGATGCACATTCCAAGCGGTGAGCGTGCACTGCAGATGATGTCTGCCCTGCCCCTGGTGTTATCCTAGGCCCTCCAGACTGACGTGGCCCATAGAGGACACTCTGGCAGTAGGTTCCTTCTCCACTATTCTGCCTCTTTGGGGCACATGGAGATGGTCACAGATTCTTAAATATTTGCTAGGCTCCACCCTTGCAGCACCTCACGTTCAACTCACAGCAGCCCTGCTAAGGCTGCAACAGCAAAAGAAGTCAGTCTCAGAGAAGGGGTGCCCCACCCAGAGCACAGGGCCAGGGGAGAACTAGCTGGGGGTCAGGGACAGGGAGAGGGATCCGTCAGGTCCAGGTCTTACTCAGTTTCTCCCCTTATAAAATGGTGAAAATTAGCTGTTGACACAGACGTGGAATTGTTTATGTGTGGCCCTGAACAGGCCCTTGCCTCAGCTGTGGAAAGATTTCTCTGCCTGGGAAGCATCCTCAAGTCTCCCTCTCACTCTACCCCCAGCCTCCACAGCACGGCACCTGTACCTCCGGGGCGGTGCTGGGGTTGGCTCTATGACCAAGATCTACGGGGGACGTCAGAGAAACGGCGTCATGCCCAGCCACTTCAGCCGAGGCTCCAAGAGTGTGGCCCGCAGGGTCCTCCAAGCCCTGGAGGGGCTGAAAATGGTGGAAAAGGATCAAGATGGGTAAGCAGGGTAGGGGCCAGTACCCGCAGGTTACCTATAATGAAGTTGGCGGGTGCCAGGCCTGTCCTCAGAGGCAGGCAGGGGATTCTGCAGAAAAGGGAACAGCGAAGGGCCTCACCCCGACCTCTCTGGCTGACTACCCTGAGCTCCAGGAAGGTAATTTAGCGACTGTCCACTTTCATTAGCCTGCTCGTTAACTTTTCCCAATTGATTTTTCGGGGCTTTGATCTAATGCTTGCACAAACAACACCCTGTCAGCTCACAGGGGGGCTCCCACTCCTACTCCCAGCTCCTTAGATTGCAGCCAACTGGGGCCCTCAGTGGGATTTGGCTGGCATCATGTATGTAGTCCCATAGCTAGGTGCCTTCTTGGGAAGCCTGGCTCATGACCAGGAGGGAAGGGGCTGAGAACCTGAGCTTACAGGGGACTGCATGATCCCTCTTGCAGGGGCCGCAAACTGACACCTCAGGGACAGAGAGATCTGGACAGAATCGCCGGACAGGTGAGGACTATGGGTGGGCCAGGGCTGGGTACTTCAGTCTCTGGGGACCTCTGCTTTGTTACTAGATCTGGCTTATTTTCTCCCTTGGAGGGCATAGCCCAGGGTGGTGTGGGGTTCAGAGGAGGGCTGCCCAGGAACAGGAGAAAGGACATTTTTCACTGGCTTCCCTACTCAAGCTGCTTGGAAATCTGGGTGCTGGGGTAGAGGGAGCCCAGGCCCAGAGTGCCACCTGGCCTCTGCAGGGCACGTAGCTTCATCCATGCACGTGAATCCCTCTTCGCAGGTCAGCCTACTTACAGACTCTGGCTGCCACGTGTGTTTCATGCTTATGGAACATTGGACAGGGGCAGCTTGGGAGAGGTGGGAGATGGGAAGGCAGGCTAGCTTAGGCCCCAGGGTCCACATCTCCATCCACATATAGGCTGGCTGGCACCTTGGGGCAGGATGGCTTCACCTGTGGAGCCACAGGCTCCCTGTCTGTAGAGGTCGACTCTGGCCCACCTCGGGTGGTGGTGAGGAGTCAGTGCTTCATGCAGTTGCGTTGGAGCTCCCAGGGCCTGGCATGAGCTTGACACTGGTTTTATTTCTGTGTCATTGGCACAGGCCTCCTAGCAGCGATAGAGTATTTAGTCACTTAGTTGAGTGTTACAAAGAATGGAAGATGTCATCCCTTTGGCAGTTGGGTATGACCTGGAAGGAGAAAGCTCTTCCAGGTAGAGTGGGGCTCGGGACAGACGTCAGTGCTGATGGTGGGCCTTCCCCTCACGGGGGCAGTGGGCGAAAGTTGGACTCCTGCTCTTCCACTCCCTTCTCGAGTCCTAGTTTGCAGGCCTGTAAAATGGGGAAATGCCTGCAATTGTGAGGGCTACGGAGATGAATGCATTTGAAACCATGAGTCAGGGTGCCCAGGGTCTGGTGGGTAGTGGGTAGCTATTACAAAGTGTCCCGGCAGAGACCCATGGTTGACCTTAACTCTTCGATCTTTTCCCACAGGTGGCAGCTGCCAACAAGAAGCATTAGAACAAATGATGCTGGGTTAATAAATTGCCTCATTCGTAATCCTGGTCTGGGTCTCTCTTGATGGACTGCTCTTTGGGAGCATAAGGAAGAAGCACTTGCTCTCTTCCCTTGTGGAAGGGAACGCAGGGTCCCTGGGTGGCTATGTGCACAGCAGCTGGCAGAGCCTTCCCAGTTCCTCCCTGAATGTGCAAGATGTCCCAGCTGGGTTTGGGTGAGGATGCCCTGGTGCCTCCCCCACATCCTGTCTTTGCAATTCTCAGAAAGTGAGAAAAGAGAAGGTGTGGTTAAGCAGTGGCCCAGGCACTGCAGGGGTGGCTTGTCCTGGAATAAGGAAGGAGGTGCGGTGGGATAGACCTCATTCCAGGTCGCCCCCTTTCGTGGACCTACACCAACAAGAAGTTGTCTGGGCTGAAAGATTTGTACTTACTTAGCACTTAAAGCCAGGCACTTTACAACTACGTTATATACACTTAGCAACCCTGTGAAGTGGGTGCCCAAAAGCACCACATTTTGGAGAGAGGGAAAGCAAATCATAGGATGGGAGTTTCGCTGGTTGTCCAGTGGCTAGAGAGTGGCAGAGCCATCATTTGGACCCAAGCAAGCTGGCTCTAGCCCTTGGCCTAGCTGCTACAGGATGCTGTGCCTCAAAAGTGAGGAAAATGAGAAAGTGGCCCAAAGGGTGACACTCCGTGGTATAGCATCTAGTCCTTGATGGGCCACGTGGGCCTGCAGTCCGGCAGCCTCGCCTCTGCAACCACTGGGTGGCAGCCAAGGGCCTGGAAACGGACTCAGCTGTAGCACGATGCCCAAGAAGTCCTAAGGCTTCCTGATCTGGAGCCGGGCTTACTCCTGGGAGAGAATAGGAAGGAGAAACTAAGCACAGAGGGGTTGAAGACCTGCCACCCGGCTTGGGCTTGGTGAAACAGGGTCCCTGGTCCCCAGCGCCAGAGAAGGAGAACTGTCCTAGGTCCTGTGCTAGGTGCACTTGAGAATATCCTCACAGTATCGGGGGATTGTGCGCATGTTACTGGAGAAGACCCAGGCTCAGATAACCCGTCAGTTGGCAGATCTTGAGATGTAAACCCAGGAATCTAGAATCCTTGAGGCTGATGTTCTTCTGTGTGGGTGACAGTTGTACTTTTTTAAAATTAGGAAATATTTCAGGCATGCAAAACAGTATTCACGATAGTGTAAGAAAAACCGATGAACCCAGCACCCAGTTTAAAAACTAACAGGAAATAAAACCAAAACAGACAAAGCCCTCTGTGTGCCCTTCCCCAGCCCCAGCCCTCCTCACTGTCCCCAGAGGTAGCCCCACTTGGGAACTGGGCATGGGTCACTCCCCATGTATGTCCCTAAGCCACACATCATGCTGTTTTGTCTTTTGGAAATAAGTCAACTGTATCGTGCTACGGTATTTTTTTCTCATGTTCATGTTTCTGAGATGCAGCCATGTGGGCACTTTCCCCTACTCTAGTGTTCTGTTGCCTGCGCCACAATTTATGCATTCATTCTCCTGTAAATGAACTTTCCCTTAGCTTCTCAATTTTTGCTACCAAAAATCTCCCTGCAATGAACTTTTCGCACGTGTCTCTGTGTGTGTGTGTGTGTGTGTGTGTGTGTGTGTGCACGCGCGCACGCGCATGCACGCAGGTCTCCCAGCTGCTCACAAATATCTCCACAACCCCAGCATCCCCTCTGAGACCTCACTTCCCTCCTACCTGGTCTCAAATGACAGGCTCAAAGGAAACTGGGAGTCACATAAAGGTGACTGAATCAATCCCTGCTCCACCACTCCTAGTCTGTGACACTGAACAACTGACAACCCCTGCTCTGGGGGCCTCAGTTTCCTCCTCTGTAAAATGGGATTGGGCTACCTTGCCCAGCTGTGGGAAGACCAATATCAAAGAACTCCAGTAAAGAGCTGATCGTGGCTCTCGCTCCTTGGGTGCCAGGAACACCAGCTCCTGTCACGAGGCCAGGGAGGTATTCTGATTGTCATCTCACAGATTAAAAATGCCAAGGCTGGAAGGAGGGAAGTGACCATCTAGTGGCCTGCCTTATGTATTCCTCATGATCACTGACAGTGACTAAGATTTACTGAGCACCTGCTAAGGGCCAGGCCCTGTGGTCAGTACTGTGCATGTAACAACCCCTTTAAATCCTTGTTTCCAACCCCAAGAATCAAAGAAACAGAGGGTCAGAGAGGGAATGAGTTTGCCCAAGTCCAGGGAGGGGCAGAGGTCAAGCTGAGAATCACCACCCTGTCCCCAGCAGACACCCAAAACTCTGGCTCCCTCAGCTTCCTTACTGAGAGACTAGACCAACCCATCCTCTTACCCGCCAACACCCCGCCACAAGCAGCCACCCCTCAGGGGAATTGCGGCCACCACAGGTGCAAGGAGCAGTTCCTCTGCACTCCGGGCCTGAAGCATATGGCAGGGGCTGCCCCCAGGCCTGACAGCCCAAGGGCCCAGCAGCGGGGGCTAGCGGAGCCCATCTCCGGCAGGGCTGGGCAGGAAGTGGGGCGGGGTCTGGGGTGGGATCTGGTTCGCCAGGACTGCTGCAACTCAGACAAACCAACCCACCGGGAGAAGATGCCTGGGGGTCCGGGAGTCCTCCAAGCTCTGCCTGCCACCATCTTCCTCCTCCTCTTGCTGTCTGCTGCCTGCCTGGGTATGTGGCCAAAGGGCAGATACGGGGGTGGGAGGGGGAGGTGGTGGGGACCTAGAGAGGCTGGAGAGGGCACAGGCAGAGGAAGGGCGCTCAGGAGCAGGGGAGAGGAGGCAGAAAGGGGGAATTGCAGAAGGCCCCTGTGGAAATCGCATCTGTCCCAAGCTGGGCCAAGGCCCGGCTGACCGAAGGGAGCTAGGGAAGGCGAGGGGTGTCCACAGCGCTGGGGAGAGAGGCAAGAGTGAGAGAGACACCTCCCCCACCTTCTCATCCCCGCAGGTCAAAATAAGGAACTAAGGTCCCTCTCGACTGAGCACCAGGGCTGGGAGCAGGAAGGAGACGTGGGGGTGGCGTTCAGTGTCAGAGGGGACAGAAAGCTTTCTCCCCCTCTGCTGTGAATCTCAATCAGTCCCTCCCCTGTGAAGGGCACCCGTTCTCAGCATGGGGGAGGGGATGCTCCCTGGACCAGTCCTCCTCCTCCCCTGCCCTGCCCAAGGCCAGCTGGCAGGGCCGTGACCATATTGAGGAGTTCAGAGAAGGCTGCTCACCCAGGGGACACTAAGATCAGGGGTTGCAGCTCTCAGCCCTCTGAGTTTTAAGCCTGTGACCCTGAAGTTGCTCGGCCTCTTTCCCCACCTCTTCCTCCTTCTCTCTTCCTCCCACCTCCAGAAGAGGGGGCAGCCACACGGGCTGGCCTGGGAGGCTGACGTCTGGGCCTTCCCAGAGGAGCCAGCCTGGGCTGCCTCCCTCTCTCTGAGACATCCCTGCCCTCACCCTGCTGGGCCCCTCCCCAGCCCCCAGCCCAGCTCAAGGGCTGAAGTCCCCGCTAACTCCTAGGTTGACACATACGAGCTGCAGAGAATGAGGGACAGGCCCAGGGTCCCAGGCCCAAAGACTGGCTCCTCAATCCCAGGCAGGGAGAGGCTCAGGGAGCTGGGAGAGTGAACCAGTGCCACTCCTGACTGCCTGGGGATGCTGGGCAACCCACCTGCCTGGGCCTCAGCCATCCCTCCTGTAAAATGGGGATAATGAGAGAAACTACTCCTAGGGTTTTGTGATGACAACACAAGATAAAGTGCCAGGTGCAGGGCCTAGCTGAGGCTGGGGGCGGGAACATGGACCTGGAAGGCCTTCAGGAGGAGGGGATGCCAGACCTCATTCTGGAAGGAGCTGTCTGGACAGGGGCACTTACAGTTCCAGGGAACCAAACATCGAAAAGCCAGAGAGTTCATGGGGACCAAAGCACAAAGTGGGTGTGCAGGAGGGTGGCAAGAGATGCTGGAGAGGTGAGAAGGGCCCCTGGGGTGTCTCACCATCCCCAGGAGTTTTATTCTCCTCCCCTAAGTGTGTCCTCTCTCCTCATTCTCCCCTCTCCCCCCCACAAGGTGGGTCAGCCCTTGCCAAGGGTGTCTCTCTCTCTCGCCCCCACAAGGAGTGTCCTCACCCTCCTCCCCTCCACACCAAGCAGTGCTGGAGCTGCAGGGGCAGGGCTGGGGGCCTGTGCCACTGTCCCGTCCCTAGTCTTGACGCACCCCGCCCTCCGCAGGTCCTGGGTGCCAGGCCCTGCGGGTGGATGGGGGCCCACCATCGGTGACGGTGAGCGTGGGGGATGAGGTCCACCTTCCTTGCCAGTACAATGACAGCATAAAGAACGTCACAGTCACGTGGTGGCGCCTCATCCAAGGCAACCATTCGTGGCCCCCTGAGCTCATAGGCTACGGCCACAGCTCCAGTGGCGAGCTCACCATCCACAACGTGAACAAGAGCCACGGGGGCATGTACAGGTGCCGCGTCCACGAAGAAGGCAAACCACACCAGCACTCCTGTGGCACCTACCTCCGCGTCCGTGGTGAGTGGCCCAGCCCCGGCCCCTGGATCCCACTCTCCAGCTGGGGACACTCTGTTTACTCATCTGTAAGCTGCAGATAGAGCTGGTACCTTCACTGTGGGCCCATTGGAACCAGCAGGACACAGTGACTGATGTTCCCATCTGCAGAGTGGGGGCTTCAGGGGTCTCAGGCCTTGCTGTGGGGGTGGGGCTGGGAGTCCAGGGAGGGCAGGAGGTGCCAGGGCTCTGAGCAGCACCCCTTCCTCACAGAGCCACCCCCTAGACCCTTCCTGGACATGGGGGAGGGCACCAAGAACCGCATCATCACAGCCGAGGGCATCATCCTTCTGTTCTGTGCCGTAGTGCCTGGGACTCTGCTACTGTTCAGGGTGAGCCACCCGGGGACCCCAAGTCAGCTGGGTGAGGGCCTGTGCTGCGTGACTCCCAATGCACAGCTGGCCCTCTCAGGTCTGAGGTTCCCCACCCAAAGCTTGGGAGAATGACAGCATCCCCCTTCCCCAGAGGCTGTGTAGGTTAAATGAATTAATATCATGAAAGCGTTTTCATCAGTGCTAGGCCCAGAGGGGTGTCCTCATTCAGTTTCCCTTTCAAGATTGTCCTCACCATCCAGCCCCCCAAAAGTGTCTCTCTCATTCTCCCCCCAGAGGTGTCCTCACTGCCCCTCTCTAGGGGTGACTCACTCTCTTCCTGCCCCCACCCCGGAGCATGGTTCCCCCCAGATGCAGCTGAGAAACCTGCACCAGCCTCTCCTCTGGCCACAGGGCAATTATTAATATTACTATTTATTACTACTCCTATTCACCTCCCCCTGCTCACCCCACCCGCCCCCACAGAAACGATGGCAGAATGAGAAGTTCGGGGTTGATGTCCAGGATGAATACGAAGATGAAAATCTCTATGAGGTGAGCGGAGGGCGGGTGGACAGGGTCAGGTGTGCTGGGGGCCTGCTTGGGGTTCCTCCCTCTCCCTGGGGGCGTCGTGTACTGATGTCCACTACCACGTTCCACCCCAGGGCTTAAACCTGGACGACTGCTCCATGTATGAGGACATCTCCCGGGGCCTCCAGGGCACCTACCAGGATGTGGGCAGCCTCAACATCGGAGACGTCCAGCTGGAGAAGCCGTGACACCTCTCGCCCCCACCAGGCTGCCCCTGCCTGCTGTGCCCCAATTCCAGTGTCTGTCCTCACTCCCCTGGAACAAGCTCTCCGCAGTCTTCCCTGGGAGCTTCCTCAGTCATCTTCCGCCTTGGGGTATCCTCTCTCTTCTCCTCCCAGGTCTCCTTGGACTCCTCCTGGGTGTCCTACTCTTCTTCCCTCTAGACTGTCCCATCCTCCCCCAGCCCAGTCCTCCCCCTGCTGCCTTTCCCAGGCTCCCTCCCCAGTGGGTAATGAGCCTTAATCGCTGCCTCTAGGGGAGCTGATTGTAGCAGCCTCGTTAGTGTCACCCCCTCCTCCCTGATCTGTCATGGCCACTTAAGTGATAATAAATCCTTCCCAACTGCAGACCTTGGCAGGAGTCATGGATCTCATGGGGACCGTTTCCAACCCACCCCCCCACCTTCCCTGGGACCCAGGAGCCTGGCCCCAGCCTCCCCCCTCAGACCCAGCAATCCTGGCCCAGCCATACCCTGCCCACTCCCCACACCTCGGCACAAGTAGCCAGTCTTGGCTGCCCCCCAGAGAGAAACAGGAAGTCGCTTGCGGAGGTCCCCACCCCAATTTAAGGACTGGTTTGGCCTCCCTCCAGGGCCTCACCCCAGAGCGAGGAGGGGGTGTGGCTACCGAATTATTTATGCATATTTAAGCCTGGGAAACGCAGGGGACTCTCTTGAGGGACTGGTACAGAAATCAGACCGAGGCCACCTTTGCTCCACGGCTAGACTTACAGAGGGGAACTGCAGAGTCTGTGGCCCTAACTTGAGGACGATGGGGAGACCCAGGGGCATGACAGAGAGGCACTGAGACACAGAGTTCCTGAGAGGAAGAAGACAGACACTGAGGCACGGGGACAGTGAGGAGACACGGGGAATCTGAGAGACAGCTCCAGACACAGAGGCATGGAGAGAAGGGGCCGAGACACAGGCGAGGAAGAGCGAGACCAGGAAAGCGGGGCCGCTGAAAACGGACGCGGAGAGGCTGGCTCCGAGGCCCCGAGGGAAAGCAACAGTGGGGGGAACGACAGAGACGGAGGCTCAGAGGGGAGGGGGCTCTGAGGGAGAAAATGAGCGACAGGAGGGACAGCGGGGAGAAGCGGAGGCCAAGGCGGGAGAGACCCGACGGAGACGGGGAGCGAGACAGAGACAGAGAGAGGGACACAGACGGAAACACACCCAGAGGAGCGAAGGAGAGGAAGACCGAGAGAACCACAGGGACGGAACGCAGGGAGGCTGCCGCTCAGGCTGGGCGGACGGGGGCGCAGGACTCGACCCGGCCCCGCCCGGCCGGGAGATGAGAACCCCGAGCCCGCGCGGCGGACGGACCGACGGCCCGGGCGGGGGCGGAGCGGGGCCGGAGCCGCGGGGCCGGGCGGGGCGCGGAAGGGAGGGCCCGGCGGGCTGCGAGAAGGGGAAGGAAGCGGAGGTGCCGGGCGGGCGCGGGGCGCGGGCAGGAAGCGGGGAGGGGCGGCAGGGCGGGGGCCTCCGGAAAAACGCCCCAACTTCCTGCCCCGCCAGAGCCAGGAAGCGGGAGCCGGGACTCGGGGCCCGGGATCGCCGAGCCCGACCTCGGGCGCCCCGCCGGTCACCTCCCCGCGCGGACACCAGGTACACCGGCCCGGCCCCGCCCGGCCTCCTCCCCTCGGCCGCTGGGGGAAGTGGGGCGGAGGAGGGAGGGGCCTGGGCGCTGCCTGCCGTGGAGGGGCCTCCTGGGGCCCACGGAGCGGGCGGCCGTCCCTCTCGGGGTCTGAGTTTTCCCATCTGTCAAAGGGGGCAAAGAGGGGAGAACACTTTCCGAGCGCCCAGCAGGGGGGGATGAGCGGTGCGAGGCCGGGGTCCAGGCCTCCCAACTACTCGGTGGAGGACAGGTGATCGCTCCCATTTGTACGGATGGGAAAACCGAGGCCCAGGGAGCGGAACCGACTTGTCTCAGGGAACACACAGCGTGAGCCCGTGTGGAGTTGGGATTCAAACTATCAGACGCTTTCCGCTAAGCGCCATCCTCCAACCCCGCATGCTTTAGCGCCACCTAAAAAGAAAAACGACAATAATAACAACGCCCGTGGGCCGCGGTGAAGCTGAAAGTTGCAGAGCACGTTTGAACGCGTTTTCGGAAGGCTCTTTTCTGAGTCATTAATTATACCCTGGGAGATGGATGTAGGGGAGAGAGCTGGAGACCGTCCCCCATTGTACAGATAGGAATACTGAGGCCTGAAAAGGAGTCATTACTTTTTGCAGGTTACACTGCTTATCAGAGGGAAAGGTATGCTCAAATCCAAGATTTTTGCATTCCAGTTCCAGCGGAAGGGGTAGTGGGGGCTCGGAGGGAATTGATGTACGAGCATTGGAAATTCAGCTGGTCTCCGATTTGGGGAGGCATACAGGGCAGGGGAGGCCCAGTCCGAAGTGCGGGTGCTCAGCGCCCGGGCGGCTTGGATCTCTGATTGAGCTCTGGCCAGGGGTTGGAACAACCCGCACCTCTGGGCGGGGGGCGGGGCCCGCCGAGTGACGGGGGCAGTCGAGATATGGAAACGCCGGCCCTCCAAGACAGGCCAGAGTAGCCCTATCTGGCCAGCGTGGCGCAGTGGAGAGCTAGAGCGGCTGGCAGGAGGAGTAGAGTCGCCAGGGCAGGAGCCGGGCAGTAGCCGGGCTAGAGCGGCTGGTAGGAGGAGTGGAGCTGAGCGCAAAGGGGCACCCTGGGGCGGCTAGAGCGACTCGGCGGAGGGGGTGGGGGGAGCCTGGAGCCGGCGCGCGGAGGCTTCGGTTCCGGCGGCTGCAGTGGCTTCTCTTCCCACCTGGAGCAGGTGAGGGACGCGGCCCCTGGCGGGCGTCAGACCCTAGCTGCGCGTCCTCCCGACATCCCCTGCTGTGCACATTGCCACGTTCCCTGCAGGATTTAGGGCCGTGTAGACCCGCCATGTCCATGTAAGATTTGGGACTCGTGTATACCCGCCACGTTTCTTATAGATTACAAGGTGTTACAGACCCTCCAGGCTCCTGCTAGCCGCCCTCCCATTGGAGACCCAACTTCTTATAGACGTGGGGTCCTCATAGATCAATAAGAGCATCTCCCAGAGTCCGGGGCCCTATAGACGCTGGGTCTCGGAACTCACTGCACACCACTGCACCTCTTTTACGTCTCCAGAGGTGGCATGACCGGCTTCCTTCCCTGTGGAGTCACGATCCCGTATGATCCCCAGATCCTTTAGATCCACTGCGTGTCAAATAGAATCTGGGGCCTTACGCATTCCAAGGGCTCCTTTAAGGTTCTGTAATGTTCCCAGAGGTTCTTGGAGGCCGTGGGTTATCCGCTCAATATCTTATAGACCCTGAGCCCTCCATAGAACGCGGGTGTCCATGTTGTCCCCCATGTATGCCAGCTTACAACCGCCGCCCCTGTGGACCTTCTGACCCTGCCCTCACCCCGCTCCCCCAGAGCCCCATTCACACGGTGCTCCCTCTGCTAGATCCCAGGCCTTATTAATTGCCTGTAGATCCGTCTACCCTTTGACAGCTTCACTTGTAATTCCTCAGCCTTTGTGGGACCCCTTCACCCTATCATCTCCTAAACAGCCAACACTCCCCGTCCCCATCCTCCCTGAGCCCCAGTCTCTACAGAGCAGCCGAGTCCAGCCTGCATTCCTGCCCAGGCCATAGTGACCACATACTCCTGACTTTTCCTGGCACCATAGCACCATAAGGAGACTTGATGTGTCTCAGAGCTTTGGTTCAGATTTTAATTTCCAAACGGTGGGGTGAGGGACGTCCCCATTCCCTGAAGCAATGCAATCTGTGTTAAATACATAAATTCAAGCAAGACTGCCTAGGTCTGAATCTTGGCTGTGTCCTTTATGAGCTGTGCCTCAGTTTCCTTCTCTGTAACATGAGGATAAGAATAATCTTGAGATCATTGAGAGGATTAAATGAGTTAATACCTGAAAAGCAGTAACGCTGTTCCTGGCACATACTACGTGCACCTTAAGTGTTAACTGTTCTTTCGTATTATTGTGATGAGGAATAAGGAGATACTTGTGAAGTGCACAGTTTGGGGCCTGGCACCAAGCATTTGCTCAGATAATGTGCAACCCCTTCCTTTACCCTTTTCAATCTCCTTGCCTCAGTTGAACCTTTCCACCCCTGCGTGGGATGATTATGGACCTGGAGGGTCCATGATCATGTTTTCCAGCCCAGAAATTGCACCTGGTGGGGTGGTGAAGGTTCCCCATCTCTAATGGGAATAAGAATGGGTTGGGATGCTTGTGGTTGGGAGTGTTTATTGAGCTGGTACATGAGAACACTTAGAGCAATGCCTAACACCCTGTGTGTGCTCTGTGAGTTTAACTCTCGTAATAAATTACTACTATTTTTCTGCCTTGGTTTGCAAATTTATTAATGCAAATGTTTAGCAATGCTCAAATCTTGAATTCTAAGCTTGGATGTTAGACACATATACTTTATGGAAAAGAATAAAAATGATGCCTCCTTGGGTGGACCCCATAGGATGGCATTTGGACACTCCAGAAAGCATCATTGTTTAATAATCGTAGTCAAAATCGTAGCGACCATTTACTGGGAAGCTAGGGAGGAGGCCCATGGAAGAGGGAGAAGGGTCGGTCTCAGGCAGCTATGGTTATAAATAGCTTTGGGCTGTGGGGAGTCCCCCCCACGGTCCACCACACCCCTGTTTCTACAGCTCCTTCCCGCCTGACACGGGCTCCGTGGCATTAGTCAGACTAATTAAGGACACAGAAGATGTCGGTGGAAAGACTCAGGGAGAAGTGGAGACTCGAGGAGAGGCAGCAAGAGATGGGGGAGAGAAGGGGATGGAGAGAGATGGGAGACAGCGCATGAGACTGGGACTCAAGAGGTGTGAGGGTGGCGGCTGCAGAAGCCAGATGTGAGAAGACAGAGGTGCAGAGATGGGGGAGAGAAGCAGGGAGGGAGGCAGAGTCCGAGGGAAAAGTGAGACGAATCTGGAGGAAGGGAAGGAGAAAAATGAGGAAACAGGGAGAAGAGAGGCAGAGACCTGAGGCAGCTTTGAGCAGAGCCAGCCAGGGAGAACTGGCTGGGGAAAGGAGGGAAGGCAGGAGGGACAGAGGGTGGAGAGAGACGGACACACCTGGGCTTGGGCTGCCTGAGGACCCCTCCCTCCTCTGCTGGGACTGGAAGCTGGGAAAGACAGGAGGCCTCTCAGGGAAGGAAGAACTTCTGGGTTTGGGGACTCCTGGTCCCAGAGGGAGGAGGGTTCAGAGTTTTGTTTTCTTAATGTGGAGAGAATTGGGGATTGGGGGTTTGCCATTGTGACTTCCTGTCACAGGAAGTGGGGCTGGTGGGTTCAGAGGCAGCATC